GGGCGGCAGGACCCCCCGGCCCTGCTCCTGGGAGAGCCTCATCACGGCCGGCACGCCGGAGGGCGAAGGCGGCCGYGCGCTCCACGGCAGCCCGGGCAAATCTCGCTCCAAACCAGAGGAGCAGCTCGGCCCAATCCAGGCGGAGCTGGAGGACAGCGAGAGCCCGGACGTGGGGCAGTGGATGATCCCCAGGGGTTTCAAAGACGCCTCCCTGCAGGAGGAAGGCGACAGYGCGGAGTTTCTGCCGGAGGCCCTGGGGGAGGACCTGGTGCTGCAGTGCCTGGACTCCCCCCCTGAAGGGAAGCCGGGCGCCCGCGGGCCCGTAGGAGAGGGCAGTATCCAGAGAGCAGGGCAGCAGCAGGACTGGCTGCTCGACAGCAGGTACCAGGAGCTGGTGGAGGAGAACAGCCACCTGCAGAGTGCCCTGAAGGACCTGGAGAAGAGATGCAGTGACCTTCAAAACAAGAACTGCCTCCTAAGGAAGAGAAGTTTTCCAGAAGTGCGGGAGCAGGTGAAGAGGCTCAAGCAGAAGAACGCCGAGCTAGCCGTCATTACCAAGCAACTGGAAGAAAGATCCCAGCAACTACACAAGACCAATCTCAAGGTGATCAATGCTCCAATACCGCTGCCYATCCAAAGCCCCAGCGTGGAACTGTGCATGAAATCATATGCCCAGCAAAGAGCTAAGGAAATGAGGGAACATGCTAGAACTCTTCTGGTGAAGGATAAGCAGATAGAAATCTTGCAGAAGAAGTTCTGGGAACTYCAGGCCAAACTGGCTGCAGACAAAGAGGGCTCATACTGTCTCAGTTTCAGCAACTTCAGTCATTTGATAAGCAAATCTCAGAGAGAAGCGTTATGCTCCCAGAGACAGATTGCAGTGAGGAACCTAAAGGAGTCTCTGAATTCCTCAAGAAGYGTTCAAGATGTTTCTTCTCCAGCGCGCCTAGTAACAAAGACAGTGGCAACAAGCACAGATTCGAGCTTAGACAGCTCATYTTTCTCAAAGGAAACACAAACAGAAATTATCACATTAGCAAAAGATACAGAGCAGTGGGAATCACTTTTAGAAAGTGTGCCTGGGAAGTRTGAAAACACCATTTTAAGTACAGGCCAAGTCAACAAGCAGCAGAGAGACCTCTATGTGGGAGTAGAGCTCGATAAAAAGCTTAGCCAGCACAAAAACCTGGAACAAGAAGTTTCGAAAAAGCAGAAGAGATGCGAAGAGTTAGAAGTGCAGCTTACAGAAGCGATAAATAAAAATGCCAGACTTGCTAAAGAAAATTCTCAGCTCATTGGGAAGACTGAATGGACAGAAAAGGTTCAATCCGAAAACACCGATCTCAAGGTGAAACTAACACGAGTAACAGAAGAGCGAAATTCTGCCATCCAAGAGACAAACCATCTTCAAACCAAACTGGAAGATCTAGAGCATGAGCTGAAAGACATGAGAAAAATAGCAGAAAGAAAGCAACAGCTGGAGAATGAGCATGAGGAAACAAGGCTGGCGCTGCAGAAGAAAGAAGAGGAAGTCAGGCATTTACAGAAGGCTCAAGGAGAAGTAAAAGCTGCACATGAAGAAATCACACGACAGTTCCAAGCCCAGATGAGAGAGCTCAAGAATCAGTATCAGAATCAAACTGAACAATATAATCTGTTATCTCAGGAACTCGAACAATTGAAAGTAAAAAAATCCAACCGTATCATTTCAGAGCTGCCACATGTCACATGTTTTTCTGCAACAACACAGACCGATGCAGAGGATGCCCACGATCTTTGTTGCAGTGAAAATAGTTCCGATACTTTTGAGAAGCCCACAAAGTCCCTGGCAAGCCCAGCAAATACCGTGAAATCCGATTCCACACCAGACAGTCCTAGGTCCTGCCACATTTCAGAGGAGGACGCTGTAAGTGAGATAGAAGAATCAGTAACAGACAAACATTCCTTAATTCTGGAGTCTTCAAGACAACAACCGGCAAAGCTTAGAGTATTTCTAGCCCGCTATAGCTACGATCCTTATGATGGTCCTAACAAGCACCCTGAAATAGAGCTTCCTCTCACTGCTGGAGAATACGTTTATGTCTTTGGAGACATGGATGAGGACGGTTTCTTTGAGGGTGAACTGATGGATGGCAGAAGGGGGTTGGTCCCCTCTAATTTGATAGAAGAAGTTTCAGATGATGAGCTGATGATGACTGCACCTCCAGACTTCCTCCAGACAAGTGATTTCTTGCAAAGTGCAGATCACGAAGTGGGTTTTTGCAGCAGAAGCGATGGCAGTGGGGGAAAAAATGATGGTCTTGAGGAAGGAATCTGTAGCAGTGGGTTTATCGATAGGGCAGGAGACGCAGAGATTCCTCTTGGTCACGCATCCGTACCTCATCCAAGAAATCTCACATTAATGAAGCAATTTGCAAGAAGTGTTATTATTGGCTGGGAGCCTCCGCTTGCACTAGGTATGTGGGAGGAGGTGCAGAACTACAGCATTTCTGTAGATACCGAGTGTAGTTTCTGTAGCCAGAACGTGAGATTTAGCTCTGAAACTCAAGCAGTGATTAAAGACCTAGACTTGAAAAATAAGACCTACCGAATTTCAGTTCAAAGCGTAACAGAGAAAGGATATTCAGACAAGATGCAATGTACCATCCTCGTAGGGAAAGACTTTCATATAGCTCCCGAATGTTTGAAACTTCGGAGCATCACTCCTACCTCAGCAGAGGTGACTTGGATGCCAAGCAGCAGCAATTACTTGCACGCTGTGTACCTTAATGAAAGGGACTGTGATATGGCCAAGCCAGGGGTCTACTGGTATCATTTCCAAAGCTTGCAGCCCAACACTGAGTACGAAGCAAGAGTTGAAGCCTGGCCTAAGGATATGAAGTGGCACGCTCGCCACAAGTCAGGGCAAAATTCAGCAACAGTTAGATTTGTCACTCCGTCTGCAGGAGTACCCCATGCGCCACTTGATGTTCAGGTGGAGCCTGGACCATCAGTGAATTCTTTGCTTATCAGCTGGCTACCAGTCACAATCGATGCTGAAGGCTCTTCCAATGGAGTGCAAGTTACTGGTTATGCCGTGTACATCAACGGGCAGAGAGTGAAAGAAATTTTATCTCCAACAGCTGGGCGTGCCCTGGTAGATTTGTCCCATTTAGAAGCATTCCAAGCATCTCCAAAGGTTTCTGTGAGAACTTTGTGTCCATATGGAGAATCTGTTGATTCGGTGCCAGCTGTGATTCCTCCAGCCTTGTTGAATGCTCCCAGCTGCTCCTGCCTGCCTAAGTCTGCATCTGTAAGACTGACACCTGGAAAGCCGTATGAGGAATTCCCAGACTCTCAGACTGCAACCCACAGCACTTCCTCTCTCTCCTCCTCACAGGTAACAAATCAAGATGCCAAACTGACCATTCCCTTCACTGACAAGGGCTGCAGCTCTGTAACTTCACCCCCAGCAAATATTTCCCCAAAACAGTTTTCTCCCGAGTCTAGCATGATGCAGGGGCTTGCCACATTGCCACTGAAGTCAGGCATTGCAAAAAATCAAGGTGATAACGCGTGTTTACCAGCTTATCATCAGGCAGAAGTCAGTGCGCAGGCATCAAGACTTGACTTTTCTGCTACATGGCATGAAGATTCRTTAGGGTTTAGGCAAGAAGATTTTTTTGAGGATGTTCAGTGGAATAAGACAGGAAAACAGTGTGTCCTTAAAAGCAATTTACTCGAAAATCCGCCAGTCAAAAGCAATATGTACMAGTCTAGGATGGTTCATTATGCTGATTCTGATAATAGTTTGGCTGACTTTTCAACTTCTCGGAGAGATGCTATGGAAGATGATGGAGCTTGTTTGAGCTCTATACATCTATATTTTAGTCAGCCTGAACCAGAGAAAGTTAATTCTAGAGACAATGGAACAAATCAGTTATCTGTCCAGGAAACCCTGTATGATTCTACTGATAAGAAACAAATAGAGTTACCTGAAGAAATCTCCAGTGTGGGACAACCTAAAAGGGAAAAAGAGGAAGGCTGGACATCAAGAATAGGAAACTGGAAGTCATATTATTCCAATTATCAAAGCCATAGTTATGGTCTTTCAGATATAATGGAAGAAGAAGAGGGCTCAGATTTAGGTGTTCATGAACTAAATAGCACAGAGACTGCAGATCATAATGGTTCTAGCCTGTATGAATCTCCAGCTTTTCCTTCTCAGTAGYCTGGAGCAGAAAGATGAGCATAAAGCCAAGCACTGGCATCTTTGTTTTCCATCCCAGTCTTAGAGGTGATCAATAACGATAGTTCTGTAAGGGTATTTGTGACATTTTTTGACTGTGATCCCATCCCTCTCCCCGCCAGTTTGATGCAGCTGAAGATGATTTGCTGTTTAAGGAAAAGTGGGCTCTAAATGCAGCTGGTGACAAAGATGCTCATGAGTTTCGTAGAGGTGAATATGCAGGAAAAGCAGAATATATTTCCCATAATGTAGTGTCTGAGGCACAGGTGAAAAAACAACAAAATGAAACAACAAAGTTCCATCACTTAAAAGGGAGTTAACAACAACAACAACAACAAACAACAATGAATTTAGCAAGCAGAAAGAGTAGTTCATCTCACAGAGAATGTGGCTGGAATGCGTTGACCAGCTACCTCCAAGGCAGCAGTAGCTGGACAGGACTCACCGAGGCGACACGCGGAAAGCAAACTTGCATGCAGCTCTCACAGCACTTGGGTCTGTGGCTGGTAACTGATTTTACTGTAGGGAGTTACATCAACAGGGAGGCCTCTTCCCTCCCAATTCCTGTAAGCCTTCTCCTGCAAAAAGGGAGTAGTGTTAATGAACCATTTCTTTCCCACTTCAAGAAGTATTAAACATAGGCATTTGTACTGTAAGCACGCACGCAGATCCTGAGGGTTGCAGAGCGGTTGATACCAAAAACGTTCTTGCACTAAGACATGAGTTGTGTAACGTCACCCAGCTACATGTGCTCGAGAACCCTCTATCCCTTGCACACATTTTTAAAGGAATGATACTGTCTGGTTAGCACTAAGTTACCCAGTTTTCCAGTGATTCCATCCATACGTGGGAATTCACCTACCCTGAGCTACATCCAGTCACCTTTTGTGCACTTTGTATTAAGCTTTTGTCTTCTGGAGCTCATTAAAGTATCTCCTTCATATAGAGTTGTTTCCTGGAAACAAACTGTTTCACTTGTTAGCTTTTTAAAATACTTTTTCCATACTTAAATACTTACCTTATTTCTTACCATTGTAATTGGTTGACCGTAAACGCTGTGGAGGGGAGCTTGGAGTTTTAGGTACATAGAGAGTATTTTTAAAGAAGTGACTATTCAAATATTTATTTCTAAAGAATATTATATATAAGATATTTATTTAGACTAGTGAAAGGTTTATTCTTTTTATAGCATTAATAATTTCTTTGCATATTTCAACTTGTCTTATGGTATAAATTTTGTTCAGTGTTTGGTTTTTGCAAGTCTCAGTGTTGGAGATAGCTTCTTTTTAAGTAAACTTTTATTACAATAAAGCGGGTTTTTTTTCAATGTTTGCCTTTGTCCTTTCACAAACAATGCTTTTAAACATGTAAAATCCTAATTAAAATTATTTTCTTGTTGCTTTCTATTTAGTTCTGTGACTGACTGATAAATTAATCTCCAAGTAAGGAATTTTGCASATTTAAGGTGATCACCTAGTATAGTTTATCCACCGTTGCAGAGTACCTAATTTGTGTCATCCACAGATGCCTGAACAGCTGTGGCCAGATTACAGTATTTAAAGTAGTACAGTCCAAGGATCTGTTCTGACTTCTWTTCTTTTGTAAAAAATACCAGTAATTTGTAAACTGTAGTTAGCTTTCAATGGCAGAACAAAGTACAGAAAAATTAAGCTTACTATTGGTATTACTGCTTTTCTTCGTTATTGCAAGGTATCTTAGAAGTGTTACTCAAAAATCTGGCATTTTGACCCATCCTGCAGCAGTAGAAAGYAACACTTCTCTCTAATATTTGCCTCTTGTAACTGATTTTTAACGTTCGAACATTCATTTTCTAGATTTCTAGAACAGAGAAAAACCAAAACACCCCACACTTGCGGCTTAGGGCTGTAGAGATGCTTAGGGCTGCTTAAAATGACTGATTTAATGAAATATAGATCATACCATTAGATGGCACCAGACCCAAAGATATGAACATTGGTAGCATCACCTGAAAGAGRTTTTAGGTTAAATATCACATGTCAGAAACACTTTTAGTACAACCATCAACACATGTTAAAGGGAACTCTAATCAAAAGTGTTCAAATCAGTGTGTTTCACCCACATTAGCTTTTGCATTCTTTACAGTTTCAATAGTTTTTAAATATAAGTGATGTATATAAATTACATGAAGAAAGAAAGAAAAACCCACATATCTTAATGCATGTCTTCAGTTTGAATAAGCTTGTTTAAAAAACAAATTCGAATTTTAAGCCCAGCCTGATTTTCTAGCTTTCAGTCCTCTCTTGMAAGTTCATTTAGAAATATTTCATTATAGGAACATAGATGACCTTGTAACTATTTACAAACTACAGGAGTGTTACAAAAACAGTCTGAAAGTGCAAAGACATCTTTTATAGGGGGAGYTGGTTTAAACACCTAGCTGCTTGTGCACAGAGCCCAGATGGCCACTAGAAGATGAATCCCAAGTGCAGGAGCCAGCCCTTGGGGCTGGAACATTGGAGCACATGGGCTGACAGATACTCATCTGTGTTAGGAATGCATCTTCTGCCTGCTGCTCTGTGGAGATGTGCTTGCCTTCCAGTGTGGGCCAGCAGAGCTGCATGGAGCATCTTTTGGCAAGGCGGGGGGAGTGCMAATGTAGAAAGGGTCCTTATTATGATAAATCAATCACGATCATTCCTTAAATCACTCACGACCATATGACATCCTTTGCACAGTGCAAATACTGGCATCTTCATTAAACAACGAGCCCTGTTCTGGCCACATGCTAGCACAGAGGCACCTTTAGCCCRTGGACACTTGCCCAGACACACGAGAGGACACATTCCCATCTTTGCACATTGGCAGAGCTTCAGTCAAGTCACAGATGAACTCGTGACCACACAAGGAAGGAACGATGGGWTCCTCAGGAAAGGAGCAGGGAGCACTAGATGAGCTCCTCTGCAACCTTAGATCTGGCCCTGGTCCGAGGTTCTTCACACATACTTCACTAAAAAGACCTTCTCCTAAAATAGGTGGAACCACTGAGTTTCACACTATGCTGTGAATTCTCTCTGCTGTGTTTACCATCCAGCTACCCTTCAGGAGGAACACCGTGAGTACGACAGATGAGCATCCACTTCTTAGACACCGCAGAGTGCCCTGTATTTTAGCTCACCTTTGTTTCCAGTTCTTTTTCCACTAAGTATCATCATGCTTTTCCTCCAGATCTAATAGAAACTTAACCTTTTTTTTTTTTTTTAAAAAACTGATATTACTCATTCCAAGATAAAAGCACAAGGAGAAAGCTTTTAATGCTTAYAGATAACTAAAGTAGAAAGCACATCTAAGTTTTAAATAAACCTCTTCATACATTACTAGTCATCTGTGAAAGTGTAATTACAAGATCAGAAGCATGGCAAAGAAGACACAAAAATATTTGCAGCAGCATCTCATTGTAACTTATATTGCAAAATTATCCCCCCAGATCCTATCAGAACCCGCTACTTACCTTTCCCTACCAGAGGAAAGCTAAGAGGAATGTTTCAGGAAGAACACTGCTTCTGTGGCTCATGGCTTTTAGAAATTACCTGCCAGGTGTGTAATTTTGAAGTGATTGTCTTCTATTAGGGCTACAATGCACAGCATGGTGGAAAATGCAATCTGATTAGCTTTTCTAATGAGCCGCAGGAGGTTGTGGAGGCCAGATCAGAAGAATCTTAAACATTTCATCACTGATTACAAACCTGCCTCTGAATTAATCACATAACGAAGTTCATGTATTTAATGAACCTAAGGCTGATCAACAAATTATCAATGATCCTTATAGATTTTGGCAGACTAAGCTCTTTTTTTCCCCAAGATTTCCTAAAGGGCTCAAGTTAGAAAAAGCATGTACATTCAATATAGATTTTACTGCAAAGACCAATAGGTTTAAACTTTATAATTTATACAATTATTTAATTTACTTACAATCCGCTAGAATTCCTGCTGGGTCTCCAGGAGGGCTGTTGTTATCACAGATGAAATTTCATTGWGACAGTAATTAAAAAGCAGCAATTAAAAAGACAACTTATATCCCGAGCATTCTGAAGTACAATCTCACAGAAAAGACGGAGTTCTACCTCTGCAAAGGAGAGCGCCRTGGGGTTTACACACTGTATGTGTGCTGGGAGTCCAGATTTCTAAAACCAGCTATCCCTTTAGGTAGGACTATGCAACACGGCTACAGCTGCAGCCACACTGACATCCTGGTGTCTGCTCTGCATTCCTCTCCCCTCCAACCATTTATTTTCCCTCCACATTTCATTCATTCATTAGAGTTTAATCATATATTTCCATTCTGCAACAGAAAAACTGGCCCTCGTAGCCTAAAGCAGTTTCACCTAGCTAGGAAAGAGGACACAACAAGGGAGAAATAAATGCTGCTGGTTACAAGGCTGCGTTTATGGTTCAGCAACCTCAGCACTCCCTGCAAGGATGACACCTTCACCGTGGTTAATCAGCCCGATCCACGCTCCTTGTCAGGGAGCAAGGGCTACGTTTGGAGTGTAAGGAGAGATGGTTTCACTTGGGCTTCCTTCTGAGTGGTGGAATACTCTGCTCTTGGGATTTCTTTTCATTTTCTGCTTAGTCACCACCTTAATACTCACCGAATGATCAAAGCCGTTACCATTAAAATCTATTATGCTGCTCWTGGCTACTGCCAGGATCAGGGTATGGGCTGGATAGACCTTTGCTCTGATCCAGTATGGCAGGTCTTATGTTCTTATTATGACTTAAAATTTACTTTCCCCAAAGGGATGAGCCTGTGGAAGTCCATCTGTCAAGTGATTCATGAGAAGTGGACATAAAAGAGAACCGAGTATGACTGACTGAATTCATTAAAAAATTTAAACAAGTATTCCTGGCAAATGAATACTTGAAAGATCTTAATAAAAACCCTGAGCAAGAGCTTGAATTTGCCACCTCACTAGTATCTGCTTTACATTTTAAATGGTTGC